GTCTTTTGTCCGTCGTTCTGTCCGTGTTTCTGTTGCTCGTTCTTTTCTTTTGTATGATCGCATCAACCAAGCCCAATTTGATGCCATTTTGAAAGAAGAAATGCTTGCTCGTTCCTCCTCCTCTGCTGCTGCTAAACCACCATCTCGATCCTCTGATCAAGAGCGTTTAGCCAAGAAACAACGTTTGAGTTATCTTGGCTACCTCTTGCATCATGATGCTGAAACTGCCTCTCTTTTGGCTTATGCTGTCTCCCCCACTCTCTCTGCTACCAAGGATCTTGAAATGTCAGAGCCTTTTGATAACTGATTGACACCTTGGTGTTGAAATCGTTTTGCTCTCTCATTCCCACTCTCATTGTTTCTGTTTCTGCTGCCTTTATGGTAGTGTCTGTATTTACTTTGTCCTCCTTCTCTGCTTCTTTCTCGTTTGGTCTTTGTCTCTCTACTCATTTTGCTATATGCAAATGCCTCGTTTTCTCCTTTTTTTCTTGCTTTTTTTGTGCCACTGAGGTCTGTGGGTTTATTTTGTCTGTGCTGCTGTCTGAACATCGAGGTATCCTCAATTGCATGTCTCATACACCATAGCTTCTTATTCTCTACCCTTTTATCTCACTTGTTTTACTCCTTTTTCCTGCCTGTACTTCTTTTTTACCAGTTTAATTTTTAGTTTAGGACCTTTTTTCCCTTTTCTGGACACTTGCATGTTGTTCCTGCATGGAGATCAAACTATCAATTTAAGCTTTTTTGCTGTACGTCGCTTCTCAGGACTTGCAACTAATGATCCAAAGATCGCATGCATATAAGTCTATATTTTTTACATTGCTAATTCATTGTAATCAATAAACAACCATAAATTTTCGCCTGAGCTACATCCCCTCTCTGATGCCTGCTCTTGATGAACATTCGCCTGCACTTGATGTTGCTCAAGGTGGCTTTCGCCCACAGCGTAGTCCTCTGGATCAAGCCCTCTGTTTACATGACTTGATGCACGACTACTTCCTCACCCACCACCACTACCCTGTGGTTGCTTTCCTAGACATCAAATCAGCGTATGATACCGTGGATCGTCGAGTGATTTGGGATGCTCTCTCTCGTTCCTCTCTGCCTCGTTCAGTTCTCAGTTTGCTCATCCACATGTTCGATGATGTACTCGTGTCTGTGTTGATTGCAAATCACACCTCTGTTCCCTTTTCGCCTGCTACTGGCGTATTGCAGGGTTCAGTGCTCAGCCCTCACTTGTACTCTCTGTACATCAACTCTCTGCCTGCTGTTCTTCGTTCTGCTGTCAGTCGCGGTACTATGGTATCACCACCTGGGATGCCTAGTGTTTGCGTGAATAGCCTGCTCTTTGCTGATGATGTGGCCATATTTGGCTCTCGTACTGATGTGCAAACCATGTTGGATATCGCTTCAGATCACTCGTTCTCTCTTGGCTACAGGTGGAAACCATCAAAATGTGCTGTACTTTGTGCTCCTACTGCCTCTACTCGTCATCCATTGTCTCTATACGGTGAACCTCTTCCTGTGGTAGAGGAATTCACGTATCTTGGTATGCCGTTTAGATATAAAGGTCTGTATGCCCCTGGGATTCTCAATCTGCGTGCTTCTGGTGCTATCAAGACAATGGCATTGTTAAATTCGGTTGGTGTCAATCGAAATGGTTTTTCTCTGTTGCTTTGTGCTCGTTTGTATAAAAGCTTTATTCGTCCCAAACTGGAATACGGCTTAGCTATATCTCATCTCTCTTTCCGTGACTTCAAGGCTCTTGATGCTCTGCAAAATCGATTGGTTGGTATGTTTGTTGGTAGTACATGGTACAATGTTGCCAAACATTTGACCTGTCTTCCCAGCATGAAGCATCGATATAACGTTCTGACAACACGTTATGCCCTTCGTGCTGATACTCTCCCTGATGATTGCTTGTTGGTTCTGCTTCGTCGTGGTTTACTGTACACTCGTCTAGACAGATTTATCTGTCAAAACCCGTTGTATCTAACACTGCCTGATCCGCCGCCATTCACCACTGCTGGTCTTACTGAAGTCTTTGATTCGTATTGGCAAGATCAAGTAGATCGTCAACTTGCTGCTGCTGCTGTTTCTGGTGCTCAGACTCTCCTTCGTGCTTGTCGTCCGTCTGTCTCTCGTCCAGATCCCATCCTGTATCTGCCTATTGGTCGATCTGCTCGTAGTCGTCTTGTGCGGTGGCGTCTTGGACGTTTCACCAATATGCGTGAAGAATGTCCGTGCACTACCGGTGAGTTTATCTCCCGAGATCACTTTCTGACATGTCGTGCTCTGGATCGTACCTTTTTTGATGCTTTGCCACCTGCTCCACCTGGTGTACATCGCATTGACCATGCTCTGAACTGTCTTCCAGACAAAGCTTCAGCTGGTCCACCGTACTTTTGGTCTGCTTTGCTCCTTTTGTTGCATGCCATTGATTGCCTTGTGCATCCTCTGGCTGTGATCCCACCAGATCCAGATCCTGGATCGCTCTGGTTTTCTGCTCATTGATGAACGTTTGTTGTTTTTGCTTTCTCGGTGCGATGCCACGGTGGTAAGTAATTATCAAAGTTCCCATCCGTTGGTCATTCCTCCAGATCAAATCAACAATACCAGTACTCATGCCGATCCTCTGCAACTACCACACTTTCCTTTTTCCCTTTTTCTTCGTTAGTGTCCTCATAAGGGTTTTTTGTACCTGCTACTCTTTTGTTTCTAGAATTCTAGGCTAATGCTCCCATCGAGTGCCCATTGAATTCATGTATATAATAAAAATCAACGTTAAACTGAGCTACATCCCCAACCAATTTTTTTAATACATTGAAGCCCAGTAATATTAAAAAAATTGCTCCAACTCTACAAATCCATACAATACATAGCCAGAACACCATTCCAGACGACACCAAAGTAAACCAGGCATTAAGCTCTGCGTCCTCTCTTTCTCCAGGTCAAAAACGGCCAAGTTCCTCAAGATCTCCACCTTTTTTCGCTGTAGATTTCACTCAACAGTTGAAAACAAAGAAAATGACACTCTCGCCAACCTCTCAGCACCATCATCCACAAACATCAGTTGATATCATCAACATTTCAACTGATTTTGGAACAACAACTCCTCCATCTGCCTCTCCAGCGAGTGAACAGTAACTTTCAACCTTTATGATTGAGGTTCGAAATCGCTTAGCTCGTCTGGAAACCGCCCATGTCGAAATTGAGCGGTTAAAAACAGCCCTGGCAGAGTCTGAAGCTGCTCGTCACGCTCTCAAAGCCCAACTTGCAGCTGCTACTGGTACTACAACTAGCCTGGCTCCCAAACCATCATCATCCCACCCACCTCCTGTCACTACTACCACCACAACAGCATCAGCATCAACTACATGCACCAATGCTACCTCTGCCACCAATTTGTCTCCAGAAAATCAACCATCTTTTGCTGCCGTCGTTGCATCCAATGCAGGTGCAAAGCGTAAGAAGAAGCCTGCTGCTCGTCCTCCTCCATCTGCCACCAAGGCATCCGCTACTCTTGCTCGTCTTTTTGCTCCTCAAAGTGATATACCATCTGGTTATCAATTTGTGTACTATGCTACTCCTGTCCGCCGTCGTCTTTCTGAGCTGCGTCGCCTTGTACAAGGCGTAGGATTGAATAACTCTCGTGTGCTGGATATTCAATATCCTGTACAGAATGTGATTTCTTTCCTTGTTCACAACGACTATGTTCTCACCCTCACCAAAGCCATGCATCTACATGGTCGTGGCTCTTCTCCGTTGATTGACTTTGATCCATGTGATCCAGTCAATCTCAAAGATCCCAAATTTGCTTCTCTCTCTCCTGATCTGCGTGTCCAAAAGGCCATTGAGGTTGAAAACCTTCGCTGTCTTCGTTCTCTGTCTTTTGTCCGTCGTTCTGTCCGTGTTTCTGTTGCTCGTTCTTTTCTTTTGTATGATCGCATCAACCAAGCCCAATTTGATGCCATTTTGAAAGAAGAAATGCTTGCTCGTTCCTCCTCCTCTGCTGCTGCTAAACCACCATCTCGATCCTCTGATCAAGAGCGTTTAGCCAAGAAACAACGTTTGAGTTATCTTGGCTACCTCTTGCATCACGATGCTGAAACTGCCTCTCTTTTGGCTTATGCTGTCTCCCCAACTCTCTCTGCTACCAAGGATCTTGAAATGTCAGAGCCTTCTGATAACTGATTGACACCTTGTTGTTAAAATCGTTTTGCTCTCTCATTCCCACTCTCATTGTTTCTGTTTCTGCTGCCTTTATGGTAGTGTCTGTATTTACTTTGTCCTCCTTCTCTGCTTCTTTCTCGTTTGGTCTTTGTCTCTCTGCTCATTTTGCTATATGCAAATGCCTCGTTTTCTCTTTTTTTCTTGCTTTTTTTGTGCCACTGAGGTCTGTGGGTTTATTTTGTCTGTGCTGCTGTCTGAACATCGAGGTATCCTCAATTGCATGTCTCATACACCATAGCTTCTTATTCTCTACCCTTTTATCTCACTTGTTTTACTCCTTTTTCCTGCCTGTACTTCTTTTTTACCAGTTTAATTTTTAGTTTAGGACCTTTTTTCCCTTTTCTGGACACTTGCATGTTGTTCCTGCATGGAGATCAAACTATCAATTTAAGCTTTTTTGCTGTACGTCGCTTCTCAGGACTTGCAACTAATGATCCAAAGATCGCATGCATATAAGTCTATATTTTTTACATTGCTAATTCATTGTAATCAATAAACAACCATAAATTTTCGCCTGAGCTACATCCCCACCTTTCTTTCCGCTAAAGAATTTTTTATATACTTTCATAGCCCGAATTATATCGAAGATTCCTATAACCCATCATCTCTCATCAAGTACTTGCTATATCAATACCATAACCGAGCAAAACACTTTTAACAAGATTACACCTGCTGACACCCTTTCGTCCGGTCAAAAAAGGCCAATTTCAACCCTCTCTCCACCTTTCTTTGCTGCTGATATCTCTCAACATTTAAAAGCAAAGAAAATGCAACCTCAAGACCTCTCCAAAGCATCTCATTTCACATCCTCGATCGATGTTGACCCCAACTCGATTGACTTTGGTCTCACTTCCCTCCCACCTGCTTCGCCCACTGATCAAACTGCGTTGTCGACCTTTATGGTTGAGGTCAGACATCGTTTGAGCAGATTAGAATCTGCCCATGCTGAAATTGCGCAGTTAAAAACAGCCCTGGCTGAATCAGAGGCTGCTAGAGACGCCCTTGCGGCTCAATTGGCAGCTATCAACGCTCAATCCACCACCAATGTTGCTCCCACCACCATAGACGCTGTATCGTCGAACACTCCAACACCACCATCAACAACATCTGCCTCCAAGTCTACCCCCAGCTACTCCCAATCTCAAGTTACAGCGCAACCATCTTTTGCTGCCGTCGTTGCATCTAATACAGGTGCAAAGCGTAAGAAGAAGCCTGCTGCTCGTCCTCCTCCTCCATCTGCCACCAAGGCATCCGCTACTCTTGCTCGTCTTTTTGCTCCTCAAAGTGATATACCATCTGGTTATCAATTTGTGTACTATGCTACTCCTGTCCGCCGTCGTCTTTCTGAGCTGCGTCGCCTTGTTCAAGGCGTAGGATTGAATAACTCTCGTGTGCTGGATATCCAATATCCTTTACAGAATGTGATATTTTTTTTGTTCACAATGACTATTATGGCATGGTTTTTATAGATTAATTATTAGGGTGTTAAATACTCCCTGTTTATAGCTCATAAAATATAAAATTTTGAGCAAATTCATAAAAGGGCGTACAACCGGCGCCTAAAATAGTGCAAAATGGATATAACGTAGAGCAATCGAATGGTCTTTGCTTTGTGCGGATTGGATGAGTATTTGTCGCGATACAGCCAGAAAAAGGTATCGTGCAAAATCGTGGATTTTCCTTCAAAATCTTTTTTCAGGGCAAATAAATGCTTTATTTAAAGTCCTTTAAACGTCACCTAAATAAAGGGAGAGGGGAAAAAGACTGAATATATGGGATACAACTTAGAGAAGTTGATCTCAGGTTTCCTGGGATTGTAAGGTGGAAAGGGATTTTTGGAGGTAGGAGAGAAGGATGGAAGGTAAGAAAGGAGTGTGTTGAAAAAGATGTTGATAGTGATAGTACCAAATGGTGTGTAGCATACAGGCAAATACTTGGGGAACAGATAAATCGGGAAAAAGAGGATGCTGTTGTCGAGACGGGTGCAGTTCTAAGAGTAGGAATTTTTTAAAGTTAGAGTAACTGTTCTGATTAATAGGCGGTGGCATGTATGTACGGAGAGCAGTAGTCCAAAAGGAGCGTTTAATGGGACATGCGAAGAAAAAGTGTTCTGTTGTCTCCATGGATGATCTACAGATGGTACAAGTGGCATCATAAGGGACTTTTAGGCGGCGTTGAAGGGTTTTACCAGTAGCGATTTTGTGATGGAGAACACGGTACCAGGTGTTCCGTGCATTTAAGGGAATGCGAAGGGACCAAAACGTTTGCCATCGATTGGGAGTCAGGATCGGTACTGGAGCTGGTAAAGGAGTAAAGGAGAGAAGGGATTTGAAGCCCTTGGTGGATGGATCAGCCATTCGGAATTGGTGTGACTCTAGGTCGAATTGGCATGAGATTATGGAGGTGAGAAAGGAATGAAGGCTATCAATGGTTGGGGGCGGGGCGGTAATGTCTAGTTGTGAGGCGGTTAAGAGATGTCTGGGGTAGCGAGGAATCATGGTTTGGAAGGTAAATGTGTTTAACAGTAGGGAATGGGCTCGGATCTTGGTAATGGCTCGAGAGGTAGATGTTGGGTGAGGGAGGTCGCGAAAGGATTGTTTGAGATCAAGGGTGAGATTAGTGGAGTTGTATTCGAAAACGTCAGAACCGTAGAGGTGGAGACGAATTGTGGGGTGGTCTTTGAGGATGGTGGATGGGGGTGAGAATGTAGGTGTTAGAGAATGGGAAAGGGAGAGAGTGTGTTGAAGAAATGATAGGAAGGGGTGGCGTAGGATGGTGGAGATATCGACGAAGCACAAGTGAAAATTCCGTTGGATAGAGTCGACAGCACGAATGATGTTGAAGACGGGGCCAGAATTAGGAAGACCAGATGGGCGACATGGAGGAAAAAGGAGAGACCAGTGATAGGAAGGAAATCGAGTGGAGCCAAGAGAAAAGGAGAGTGTGGACCGAAGAACCGGGAGGGAAGGCATCAAGGAAGGTGATGGGTGATTTGGATGAAGGAGAGGTTGGATCCGACGCCACTGAAGAGCATTAGATTGTTTGGCAGGGTTGAGAAGTTTGAGGCCGCCCTGGGTACGAGGTAGGGTGAGTGTATCAAAAGAGAAACGGACTATCTTGGCGTTGCGGTTCACAAGGGAGGAGATGATGGATTGTAGTAATCCAAATTCTGTCGGGGTGAAAGTGAAGAGACGTAGGACGTGCCATAGTTTGGAGAGGATCAAAGAGTTCAGAACAGTGACACAACTACGCATTGTCAGATTTCGAGTAAAATGTAATTGACAGGAGGTGCGGTTGGTGGAGATAAGAGTGGCGACAAATGAGGATCGTTGTTGACGATTGGAAAAAAGGCCGTAACCAAGGTAGATCAAAGGTGTAGAAGATGGGTAGTCATGCCATGAAGAGATACCTTTGGAAGCCAGAAACTGAGTCCAATGCGGTTGATTGCGTCCTGAGAGAGACAGTGCCTGGGTTTTGTTGTAGTTGAGCAGAGCGTTTGAGGCAGCCATATATCTTTGCAGGAGTTCCTCGAGGGCAGGGAATTCAGACGGGTCATTCAGGGTGACTAAGGCGTCGTCGGCATAAGCAAGGATCTTGACTGGAGGAGGGGTAGATCCAGATAGAGGGTCTGGGGGGAAAGAGAAACCTTGGATACGAGTATTGTTGTTGACCGCTCGTAGAAAAGGGTCAAAGGCGATATTGAAGAGTAGAGGACTTAGTGGGTCACCTTGTCTAAGGCCTCGTAGTTGTGGCAAAGGAGAGGATAGGAAACCGTTAACATTCGGCTGGATCATGGTGCTCGAGAACAGATTCAAAATAGTGGTAATGAGTGTCCGGGGGATGTTAAAGGCCTGCATCAGGGCATCAAGGTATGAGAAGTGGATGCGATCATACGCTTTTTCTTGGTCAAGAAGAAGCGCAATAGAGGGCATCTTGGACTTGGTGGCGATTGTTTGCATACATTGAACCTGGAGGCCCTGTTCGGCAATGAAACGTTTGGGCATGAAGCCCATCTGTTGGATGCTGATCTTGTCGGAAAAGTGAACCATCAAGCGAGCGTTGAGGAGACGGGTGAAGGTTTTAGCGTACGTGTTGATCAGAGATATAGGGCGCCAATTCTTCAGATGCGAGAGGTCACCTTTCTTGGGGAGTAGAACCAAACCACTGTAGGGGGGAAAACTGTCCCGTTCGTTTAAAAAATTGTCTTCTTGCATTAGTTTTTAGTCATTTCTTTGTATACCAAGTCGAGATATGTATCGTTTGAATGAGAGAAAGTAGCACTATCTATACATATTTATGACTTTTTCAAAAACTAAAATCGAATGATTTTATTATTTAAAAAATAAATATAGAAAAATGTACATTATATTATAAAGTCATTAATAGTGAGTTGAACCACTTTTGCTGTTGATGACAGCGTTGATTCGGGCAGGCATACTGTCAATATATTTTTGGCACTCTTTTTCTGTTATTTTGTACCATTCTATGTAACTATGCCGCTCTAGTTCTTCTTTTGTAAAGGGTCTAGTGGAACACTTATTAAGACGAAGCTTTAGGAGATGCCATACATGTTCAATGGGATTAAGATCGGGACTTCGGGGTGGACAATTCATATTTTCGTTTAGGTTGAACCCATTGTCGGTGAATCATTGCTTAGTAATGCCCGAGGTATGCGGTGTTGCTTTGTCTTGTTGAAATCGCACATCAGATGGTGTCTTTCTAAAGTGCTCAAGAGTGTCGACCAATGATGTCTTCAAAATATCGACATACAAGTCCGAGTTTATTGAGCCGTCAATAATGGTAGTACCATAACCAGGGCCCTCCGCTGTTATGCAACTCCAGAACATGACCCCACCGTCATTTCCCTACACTTGAGGCTTGACTTGATGAGGCTGCTGCATGGTTCGGTCACCATTCGTCCAGTAAAAAGAATTACCATCTGAGCCCCAAAGGTTTATTCTTGTTTCATTCGAAAACACCCAACGACGTCAAACAGCAATAGTAAGATGCTTATGCTTTTTAGCCCATACCAATCGAAGCCGCTTGTTTGTCTTGCTAACAAAATTGGTCTTTACTTTTCTACGAGATTTAAATCCATTTCGTCTCAATGACTTGCGGATGCCACTAATTGACATATTTTGACCCATCAATTTTAAACTTTCTTGCGCTGCTCCGGGACTATCACAAGTACCTGATCGAAGTCCTCTTGACACTAGGGACATAGTTTTAGCACCAAGTTTTTTCGGTCTTCCGCCAACAAGTATAGCGAGGTCAGGGCAATAGAGTTTTCTGAGCCTTGTAAGAGTACAGTTACCGATTCCTGGATACATATTTTCTATCTTTGAGAACGAAAGACCACGTTAGAGCAAAGATTGGAGAGTGTTGCGCAAATCTTGTGTTAAACGAGCAGGCATAATGAAAGTTCTGAAAAAAATAAGAAAGCAAAGAAATAAAGAAAAAAATATGAAAAAACTAGCTTCTTTTTATACTTTTAGAATGCTCCTGGGATATTAAATATCCTGAGAATACCGAAGGTAGTTTTTTTTTAGATTTCTTCGATGCGTTTATTGGAAGTATAGATATCAACCATTTTATATCATCTAGAATTACCCACCTAACATTTTTGACACTTCCCACTTTGGCTGGTTACACTGGGGTTAAAATATAGCCCAACCATAAGTTTTTTATGTTGCTGTAATTCCTGCTATTAGCTGTACTATCGAACGCAGTATGGGAGGGATTCTCTTTTGAGTTTTGGCAAAATACTGGGTAAAAGTCAAGATTATTTGAATGAACGGGACAGTTTTTCCCCCTACAGTAGTTTGGGTCCAGGATGCAGGGAAAACACCATGAAGTAGAGCATCATTAAAGACATGGAGACCAACGGCAGCAGTAGCTGGGTGGTTGAACAAGAGTCGCACAATCTGATAAGGAAGACCATCAGTGCCAGGGCTACTGTGAGGTGGAGATCGAGAGAGACCGTCTAAGAGGTCGTCCAGGGTAAATGGAGCGGAGAGAGATTCATGGGAGTCATCAGGTAGTTTATTGGAGGGAGGAATTATGTTAGCAAAGAAATGAATCTCATTGTGGTTTACCGTTTTAGGGGTATATAGACGGGGATAGAAGGAGTGGACAGCTTGTTCCTTCTCGGCCTGAGAAACGTACGCAGCACCGGTAGAGGGATCCACAAGAGTTGGCAGTGTCCGCTGAGTGAGCTGTTGGGTAACCAAGCGTTTCAGAAATCCAGTTGAGATCTCACCTTTCTCTCACCAGCGTAATCCAGCAAGGAGAGCTTGATGTTCAGCGACTTCTTGCTGCAAGGTACTGATGGCGTCTTCGATGCCAGAAAGACGGTCGTTCAGGATAGCCATGGATTTGTAGGTACGAAGAATCCGGTTTCGCTTCTTTTGAAGGTGTTTTAACTGTCGTCTTCGCCATTATTCAGCATGTTTCCGACCAACTTTTTGGGCCAAGGTTCGCGTCAAGGATTTGATATCGTCCCAGATTAGTTGTGGCGAGGTAGGAGAATTACTTGAAGCCAACTGTAGGTGAAAGTTGTCCAGGTGTCTATACAGCTGATTCACAAAGAAGGAGTTGGTAGCTAACCGAGGGTTGGCCCTCCATAAGCCTCGACCATGGTTGTTGCTGCACATTTGGAAGTGTAGGCTCAGCATGGCATGGTCGGTCCATTAAGGGCCAATGAACTCGACGTTGGATGCTTGTAGAAAGTCGGTAAGGAGAGGAGCTACGTACATGTAGTCGATGGTAGACAGATGACCGCCATCGGTAAAGGTAGGTATAGGTGGATCAGATTGTAAACGGTGGGAGCACTCGTGATAATGATGTTGTAGTATGGCATGCCAAAACCATTGAGCTCGTGTAGATGGTGACATATTAGAAAGATCGTTGGTGTCAAGAGTGGGTGTGATAGAGGGATCCTCTGGGTTAGTGGAGGTTGTGTCAGATGAATGTGGGTAATTGAGGTGTAGGTTAGAAATGAAATCAGGATTTTGGAGATTATTATGGATGGTGGAGGAGGGGAAACGGCGAAAATTGTAGTTGAAATCAACCACTATCATTGTGGGAGCCTCAGGAGGGAAGGTGAAAGAATGAGATGAGAAGTTTGTCAGTAACGAGTGAAAATACGGTAGTTGAAGGAGATTAGCATAGAAGTCGTAGCGGTCATAGGGAGTGGCAGGGGCATAGATGTTCATGAGACGGAAGGGATGGAAGAGGTGATTAACATGGGAGACAGTGCAAATGATCAACCGGCCATCGGTGGAAACATAGGCGTCTTCAAGTTGGATAGCTGGATTGAGGCTTACAACACCACAGTGGTGAGTCCAAATGGATGTCTTGGCCTGCAGTTGAATATCCAAGCGATCCTGCACCTCAGGATCAGCTGAATGGGCTTCCTGAAGACAGAGGATGTCCATGTCCGAGGAGATGAGTAAGCGGGAGAAGGAGCGGCTGAGATCGAGGGAAGGTGGTTTAGAGAGGCTACGACAGTTAAGGCTACAAATATGAAGGTTAGTGATTCTGTTCTGTGTGAGAGAGGAATGTGATACCGGGGTTGGAGGATGATTCATTGAAGAGGAGGAGGCTGAAGTAATGTTGGTAATAGTGCCGTTGTTCCCACTCATTGAGGGAGGTCAATGACGTCAGAGATAGGAGAGCTGGGGCGAGAGCTCTCGGAACCAGAGGCATTGGAAGCGAAGTCTGGAGTGGTATCCATGTCTTGAGTGGAGACGGGATTGCCATACCAATCTTGAAGAGTAGCAGTAGGGGGAACCTGAGAGGCAGAACTAAGAGTAAAAGAGGCTTGAGCAGAGAAACCAGAAGGTTGGGAGGTTTGGAGTGTATGTGCAACTGCAGAGTGAGGGTCAGGGCGTCTCTTAACAGGACGACGGAGCCTTTGGTTGATGATGTCCTGGGCAGCGTGGCTAGATACCCATCCTTTACGAATGAAATACTTAGCAACACTGGGAACGAAATGGGGACGGATAAAGTAGAGAGAACGGATGCAGCGGTTCTGGTGGAGAGCCTTGGCCAACTGGGTGCGACGCTCTTCAGAGAGGCCTTGGTACTTAGGGTCAGCGACATGGTGATGATCCAAAGGATCAAAATCCTGGATCAAGTGGGCATCGATTTCCAGAAGTTTCGATTGGAACTCAGGTAGGTAGACTTCATGCAAAAGAATACCAATAGTGTTACAAGCAGGAAAATTCAGGTCCAGAACTCGGAGGTTGTCGATCGAAATTTCGTGAAATTTCGATCGAATTTGAGAACGGTTCATACGACGGGAGCGAGAGATGTAAACGAAGGTGTAAGAACCATTTTGAATGGAATCATTGACGGGTGGGTTGAAGAAGCGGTGTAGAGCTTGGCGCTTACGGTCGTTGAGGGGAGCAGGAGGTTTACTGGCAATGGAAGCCCAAGTGCTCTTGAGTTTTGGTTGTTGGACCATGGAGGTGTCAATGGCATCAGGTCTGGGAGTAAGGTTAAGATGGTGAGAGCCAGCAGTAACTTGGGGTGTGGATTCGTCACTAGGAGTTGATTTGGAGTTGCTAGGAGCCGCCTTCAGGAGGGTTTCAAGGTTGTCAAATTGAGACGACTCGAACTGGTCGAGACGGTTCATCAAAGTGGCAATGCGTTGGTCAGTTTGTTGATTGAAGTCGAGCTGTTGGCAAAGAGAGGAGGAGAACTTCTCCAGGGCTGCCAGGATACTATCGATGCGAGGGTCAGAAGTAGACATTGCAGATTTTTTTTAAATTCTTTTTCAAGAGTTAGAGATTCAAGGTACCAAAAGATTCGAAAAGTGAAAGAAAGGTGCTTTCAAAACCTGCCTGTGATAGCAAGCAAAAAATCTGCTGACGATTTTTTGGTCAGGACAATATCTTCAATATTTCATGATAGAGTCATGTCAGAGCTTCAACAAATAGCTCATTCGATAGGAAATTTTTTGGTCTACAATGTTTAGTAATGCTTAACAAAATGTTTTGATGACGGATACTGATTAATCTTTAGAAAACAGTCAAGAAATCGCAAAAACAATCGTACCAAATATCAGGTGAACAATGTGCGCCAGAAACTTGATATGGATGCCATTGTATTCTCCCTTAAATTCTCTACAAGTTTCATATAAGTCTGAAGGGGTAGTTACTATCAAGAAACGCGTAATTTTAAGGTCGATAGATTTTGGAATCCCATGGATCCTCATTCAGAATATTAGAAATTGAAGCTCCGTTGACCTTCCGCATGTGTACACCTCACAAGTTTGCATTTGACCAGGCATTTTAAAAATCGGAGCGTACGAAAAGGGCCATATTAACTTGCTGGTTTCAAGTTATCAATAGATACTTGACATGTTGAAGAATCTTTTTGTTAAGACTAGACAGTTGTAGCTTGCTTTGTTTGATTACAATAAGATTTGCCATTTAAGGTATGCATATTCCCCCGCTTAGAAATAGCATCTCCAATGTCGATTAACTCATAAAGTATGCATTTCCAATATAATATTCCCTCTTAAAAGTTGCTCCAATATCATTATTCTACAACATATTTTAGCTTTATATGATTCTAATTTTTTTTTACCTATGAGGACCTGGATGTACAAAATGTTTTTTGATTTTGAGGTTTTCAACTTTTGGACGATCGAACATCGATTTTTGAAAAAGTGATGCTAGAGCTTTGAAATTAGCATGTCCCTATAGCGAATTTTTGTGTAGAAGACGATGGAGCAATTAGATTTTAGATAGGAAGTGTAGGTGATGAGGAAACGCAGATTTTTGAAATTTGCAAATTTAGAGTAGATGCTACTAATAAAAGCCAATGGATTACTATATGAATGTTGGTTGTATGTCTAGTAAAAGTTGTAGAGGGGACTTTTGTTGATTAGGGAGTGTTGTATTTGGGCTTGCTGAGAACGATGTCGATGAGTAATGAGGAAAAAGAGAGAAAATGGACAAATTTCAAAGGGCCGTACCGCTGAAATTTATTGTGAATGTGAGCTCAAAGCTTAATAGTTTCTGTGTTTTTTGGTTCTCCATACGACGGTATAGGTTTTATAGAAAAACGTTAAAAGTTTTGAAAACCCTCTGCTTGTACCGTAGCTGATAAAATATGAGGTTTTGAGCGAATTTCTAACGGGGAAGACATATCTGGTTCTTAGATTTCTTACGTAAGTATGTATATAACGCAGAGCTATTGAATAATTTTTTTTGCGCGAATTGGATGAGCATTTGTCAAGATATGGCCAAGATTGTCTATATTTCATGATAAAGTAGTTAAGCCAGAGCTTCTAGCAAAAACTAGTTTGATAGGAAAATTTTTGGTCTACAATGATTAGTAATGCTTGTTGTGCTAGAAGGGCTACAGGTGTCTATAAATATTAAGGTATTCTTGACTGGTAGATATGCCTGTGTTGTGCAACAACATGTACAAGCTATGATAGTTGAAGTGCATCTCGGCTATCTAAATGCTGAGGTTCACCAGTTGTGATAAGCGTTGTACAAGATAAATTACTACTTTGACATTCAGAATCTAGTATAAATAGAACAACTCTTGTCTTCATCATTAAATCTCCAGTGTTTGTGTCTGATCTTATTCTAATAAGTTTTTTCTTGTTTTCGTAATATCAAACATTTCTTATAAACTAAAAATTATAATCCATTTATTCTTTGTGTTTAATAGGATAGGTCTGGGTACTTCGGATAAGAGTCTAGATATTCATCCAGGTAAGACTAAATTATGCTTAGCTTGCTGGAGCTGTCTTTTAGCATAAATAGGCGCTATAATTGACCTTAGTTGGCTTATTATATGTCCAATCCAATTAGTAGATCTTCTGTCCATTGTTAAAGTATAGAAGGATCATCTACCTATATGGACAGTAAAGATTTTTCAGTTTGCGTTACACCTGCAGGGAAATCAGGATTAATAGATTTCACAAAAAAAATAAAGCAATAGTAAAATACAATAGAAATCAACTGTATTTTATTTGTGTATAAAATGAACTGAAGATCCTGGAATTGAGTAAAAAGAAGAACAGTATTTATACATTTGCAACTAGCTTGTAGGATTAGTGATGATAAAGAGCAATAGGTTCTGCTATTGCGATATCTGGCAAATGTTGTTGATGTTTGATTTAAAGTGGTAATCAATGCAGGAGCACTCGCCATAAGGGTCGATTTGAGTAACCTTGATGGGCTTGGGTGAGCTATCGTCATAACATAATTTAATGTAACCTTGATGGTTTAAGGTGTGATGTTTGTTACTGAAGTATGGAATTCTTTATCTGGGATATTGTGCAACTATGGCAGTAGGAGGGCATAGTTGTCATATTTGAATATGCTTGTTATTGATTTGATTCTATTTGGATAAAGATACCATCACTTATTATGACCATCATGGGTGTGATCGAATACACTGTGATCAGGAGTGATTCATTCGCACGATGTGCGAGATAAGCGTGTATCTTTACTTTAGTATGTTTAAATGATTGTTGATGTACATTTGAGCGCTTTCATTAATATATCCAAATAGCATGAATTTGAATGAGTACTATTTGATAGATTTTGGGTTCCAATCAAGTTGCATTTGGGTGGTTATTTCATTACACCAGCAAAACAGCAGCCCATGAAATTGAAACATGTTGGGAGTCAATATTAAACGATGTATGTCTGGCAAGGCATATGGCATTGGGATTACTTGGTACTTGGTACAATACAGCAGCTATATAACCTTCTTCACATACAGTGAATTTATTTAAAGAATATCCCTCGCATAAAACTGTGTGATAGATACCAGATCGAATAATTGCACCTTATCTTATTTTTGAATAATAAAGGCTTTAAACTGTATACATTTGATCATTCCTTTATTATAAACACAATAATAAATTTATTGGCAGATCAACAGAAAATCAACTAGCTGTAACCCTTTGGTATTTCAATCTCTCAGCCAATCATATTGCGTAAAAACTCCGCTGACCTAAAAAAAAAATTTGCGAGGGTTTCCCCCTGTTTTGATGTGAGGCAAAATTTTAAGCTCCGCTATACAGCAGTATAGCAGATGCTATCATTAAATTCCCCTCAGGTGCTAGAGCATGCCTTACTTACACCACCTAGCTTTTAAATTCTGGCATTGAGACTCTCAATCATCACTAAAGTAAGTAGCGATAACCAAGTGGAGGCAGCCTATCTACCTCCTAGACTCGGATAAAGCCTTGTTGAGCTTCAGGGATAGGCACATCCACACAACGTAAAAAAGGTATGCTTCAAAAGAAACATAATAATAAAAGAAAGAAGAAAAGAACATATTACTATAGGAGTAGAGTAGTATGCTGGCAAAAAAAAGGATACTCACGCGCAATGAGTTAAAGAAAAGCATAACAAACACAACATCAAAGATGTTCAAAACAGCTCGTTGTTGTTGCAATAAAAATGCATACATGAGCAACGTGCATGGTAGTAATAGTCGGATGCAAAGCAGCATGGCACAAATACGCACAACTGCAAAAGCAACAATGGTATTATAAGTTTGCAATACAACGTAATAACTATTGTTGTTTCATGTAAAGCTACAGAGGAAACACTACCAACAACAAAAGAAAAAAAGAAGAAGAAAAAAGCGCAACAAGGCAAACATGATGAATGCATTATCACGAGAAAGGAAGTAATAATATAAACGTTCAAAGAAGCTTTATATCATTGCGACCAGAAGAAAAAAGATACTTACCACTTACCACAGCCACAGATAGACCAGAAGAGTATAGGCGATCACCGGAGACAGACCAGGGAACGAGCATGCACCAAATACAGTAGACTAGGAAAGACCAGATTAGCAGCAGCAGTAATACCAGCACCATAGAAAAACTAAAGAACGAACGCCATTAGAAGAGAGAAGACAAAGACCAAAGAAGTTACTTACCACTTATCACCACCACAGATAGACCAGATACTACGCAATCACCGGATATGGACCAGAGAACGAGCATGCACCAAATACAGCAGACCAGGAAAGACCAGATTAGCAGCAGCAGTAATACCAGCATCATAGAAAAACTAAAGAACGAATGGCATTAGAGACCGTACAACGGCTAAAGAGGCAACTAACAGACATGATACACCAAAGAAGCAGACAGTAAGGATGGCAGAGAAGTAATGGCAGTAGAACCCACATCAAACAGACAAAAAGAATTATCAAAACCTAATAAACAAATTCAATTAATGTTAATTTTACGCCTTCCAGTGCTTTTATTGAATGGTACCTAATATATTCCACTCTAAAGAAGAAGTATAAAGTACTTCTAACAGTGCACGACAGTGTTATCAGAAGGTAGAGTGTTATTATCAATCAAACAGTTTCCAAGACCACCATGGTTTGATACTGAACGCGCTTTGCAAAAAAGGGAAAAAAAACGGGGGTATGGAAAAAATGGGAGGGCGCCCTATCCGACGTCACGGCCAGTAGATTTAGTCTCGGTTTTCTGCAGTGGCAGCCGTAATTGCTGAATTTTAATTTGAAATTGTGCAGTGGGTATTTTCGTGTTCAAATTTGACATGATCTGACATCTTTTAAACATTTTTGCTAAATTTGACTATGAAAACTGTCGTTATCATACCCAGCTTTCTAATATAGCTTTACAGAACTAAAGAAGCTGCATCGAATGATGTTTATTAAACTCCGCTTTCAGATCAAAAATAATGAGCAATTTGCAAAAGTATGAAAACAGGTTTTCTGTGAATATGTCAAGAT